GCGCAAAGCATGAGAAAACCAATCGAAACCCCGCGGAGATTTTGCAGGAACCCTCACAAAGCTCCACTGGAAGCTTTAAAGACCTGCGCGCGACCTATATAAGAAAACCCGCAGAAACCCCGCGGAAACCCTCACACAGCCCTAAGAACTAAGAAACCCACGGAAACCCCTTCAAAGCTGTCAAAAACCATGGAAAACCCACGGTAACCTTCACAAGACATTAGAAAAACCTTCCGAAAGCTTCAAAAACCTACGCAAAATCTAACAAAACCCACTGAAACCCCGCAAACCTTAGCTTTTAACAAAACCTAGGCAAAACTTGACAAAACCCACGGACATCCGCGGAAACCCTCACAAAACTTCAGAGAAATTCAAGGAAAACCTCCGGAAAGTTCAAAAACTGCGCGAAATCCCACGGAAACCCTCACGAAACCCTTGAGGAACCTACCAAAACCATCCAATAGGTTTTAACACACGCACGAAATCTAAGGAAACCCACGGAAACCCCCAGAAACCCCGCGGAAACCCTCGCGAAACTGTAGGGAAACCCAGGGAAACCCTCCAGAAGCTTAACAAACATGAACGGAAACCCTGCGGAAACCCCTTTATCAGGACTGGATTCACCCTGTGGCAATTTACAAAGTTATTAAAGGACAGGTGCAGGAAACCCGCCACCCAATCACCGCACGCCAATGTCAGTATTATACTACCGGTCGTCCCCTAAAGGGTGAAGGACGCAAGAGGTGTTCTTCTGCTTCTGGCGAGGACCTGTGTCAACCGGAGCGCCGAAGCTGGGGCATGCCTGCCATACGAATCAATGGTCGCTGACCGTCTAAGAAGCACTTCGCGCCTTCAGGCAGAACGTCAAGGTACACATTGGTCTTTCACCAATCGGGTTCAGAAAAAGGAATACAGTCTACGTCTGCCTGGCTTCACCGTCCACGTCACAACTTGCTATAGAACAAAACTGACTTACTGCCTCAGGGTTCATGTCAGACTCAACCCAAGGACCTGACTGAAGGCATGACTGGTTTCTTGCACCCAAAGCTTTGACCCGGCGCATGGCTGTTGCTACAACCATACACAGCTAGGCCACCAAGCAGCGCACGGATGAGCTTGGACACCTCCGGCCGCGCACCGGCCGGCCGCGCCTGCGCCCCGCAACGAATGTGAAGCCTCTCGCATCGCCAAAAATGGCCCTTGAAGACCTCGGCAACCTCCTCCACTGAGTACTTCGCTGAGCGAGTTGCGAAGGGCTTGCGACACCTTGGAAGCACAAACATGGACCCTACGGACTATGTCTGGGCACTTTTTTCGGCCAACAAATCAGGCTCCGACGTGGCAGACGTGGCGCAAGTACGCTAGCTGTGGCCTAGGAGCTGCTTGAGGCAAGAGAGCGCTCAGCGGCGGCTCAGATGCAATCTGTTGAAGACACATGGCCCGTAGGCGCAAAAATTAGCAAAAGTCTCTGAGAGTCTTGCAGATCTCAAGGCATCTTGAAAAAAACAATCCGGCACAAAATCCAGCAAAACAGGTCTACGTGCAAACAAAAGCAAAAGTACATTGCAAAAGTAGCAAACAAACGCAAAACAACGCAAATCTCCGAGATCTCCTGTAAACAAGGAACAACATTTAGGGCTGCTAAACACAAGCTAAAAGACAACCGCATGAAAGTGGCCTCCACAGTTGCAGCTCCCTTTCTGCTGCAGCATTACAAAAGCAAGCAGCTGCTTCGGACAAGCCCCTGATCCCCAAGCTTATGTTCTGCACGCTGCTCCACAAGGTTCCTGGAACAAGGGCAGGCGCAGGCACGCTGACGAGACCCAGCTGCGTGAGCCCAGGGCTCAAACTTGCGACCCCAAAAATGGGGCCGTCTCGCGGCCCCAAAAATCGGGCCACGAAATGCACCCAGCTTCCCTTATTATAATGTGTAAATACATGAAAAGGCTGGAACTGCGACCCCAAAATTGGGGCCGCCTGGCGGCCCCAATTTTGGTGTCGCTAAATCTGCATTTTTCGAGCCCCTGCGCTCCCCAGATTGCGACGCTACAGCAACTCTGACCCACAGGCAAGCTCCTAGCGTGGAGAATTTTTTTTTTAAAGAACAACGACCCTCCACAGGCAGCTTTCTTGCGGAAGTGATCAACATAACAGAAACGGGCACCGGGGAGGCCACGCACAAGCGGACGTGACTTTTGCACACAAAAGCGGACCCAGAATCTGGCCTCGGAACAATTTCCTGCGCAAAGACCCGGAGCACATATGGAAAACCTACTCATCCACCTCCACAACCTCACCTGGCAGCGCTGCAAAGCCGCACGACACACTGCGCCGCTTGCATCTTGCCTATCTGGACGAGCGCCGACCGCATCATGTGACAAATTCCAAAGCTTGAAGTAACGCTGAGGAAATCCATGGTGCCATGGAAGCTCATGGAAACCCTCGCTGAAGCTTCTGACATCTTTTTCCAAAGCCGCAAAGCATGAGAAAACCAATCGAAACCCCGCGGAGATTTTGCAGGAACCCTCACAAAGCTCCACTGGAAGCTGTAAAGACCTGCGCACGACCTATATAAGAAAACCCACAGAAACCCCGCGGAAACCCTCACACAGCCCTAAGAAACCCACGGAAACCCCTTCAAAGCTGTCAAAAACCATGGAAAACCCACGGTAACCTTCACAAGACATTAGAAAAACCTTCCGAGAGCTTCAAAAACCTACGCAAAATCTAACAAAACCCACTGAAACCCCGCAAACCTTAGCTTTTAACAAAACCTAGGCAAAACTTGACAAAACCCACGGACATCCGCGGAAACCCTCACAAAACTTCAGAGAAATTCAAGGAAAACCTCCGGAAAGTTCAAAAACTGCGCGAAATCCCACGGAAACCCTCACGAAACCCTTGAGGAACCTACCAAAACCATCCAATAGGTTTTAACACACGCACGAAATCTAAGGAAACCCACGGAAACCCCCAGAAACCCCGCGGAAACCCTCGCGAAACTGTAGGGAAACCCAGGGAAACCCTCCAGAAGCTTAACAAACATGAACGGAAACCCTGCGGAAACCCCTTTATCAGGACTGGATTCACCCTTTGGCAATTTACAAAGTTATTAAAGGACAGGTGCAGGAAACCCGCCACCCAATCACCGCACGCCAATGTCAGTATTATACTACCGGTCGTCCCCTAAAGGGTGAGGACGCAAGAGGTGTTCTTCTGCTTCTGGCGAGGACCTGTGTCAACCGGAGCGCCGAAGCTGGGGCATGCCTGCCATACGAATCAATGGTCGCTGACCGTCTAAGAAGCACTTCGCGCCTTCAGGCAGAACGTCAAGGTACACATTGGTCTTTCACCAATCGGGTTCAGAAAAAGGAATACAGTCTACGTCTGCCTGGCTTCACCGTCCACGTCACAACTTGCTATAGAACAAAACTGACTTACTGCCTCAGGGTTCATGTCAGACTCAACCCAAGGACCTGACTGAAGGCATGACTGGTTTCTTGCACCCAAAGCTTTGACCCCGCGCATGGCTGTTGCTACAACCATACACAGCTAGGCCACCAAGCAGCGCACGGATGAGCTTGGACACCTCCGGCCGCGCACCGGCCGGCCGCGCCTGCGCCCCGCAACGAATGTGAAGCCTCTCGCATCGCCAAAAATGGCCCTTGAAGACCTCGGCAACCTCCTCCACTGAGTACTTCGCTGAGCGAGTTGCGAAGGGCTTGCGACACCTTGGAAGCACAAACATGGACCCTACAGACTATGTCTGGGCACTTTTTTCGGCCAACAAATCAGGCTCCGACGTGGCAGACGTGGCGCAAGTACGCTAGCTGTGGCCTAGGAGCTGCTTGAGGCAAGAGAGCGCTCAGCGGCGGCTCAGATGCAATCTGTTGAAGACACATGGCCCGTAGGCGCAAAAATTAGCAAAAGTCTCTGAGAGTCTTGCAGATCTCAAGGCATCTTGAAAAAAACAATCCGGCACAAAATCCAGCAAAACAGGTCGACGTGCAAACAAAAGCAAAAGTACATTGCAAAAGTAGCAAACAAACGCAAAACAACGCAAATCTCCGAGATCTCCTGTAAACAAGGAACAACATTTAGGGCTGCTAAACACAAGCTAAAAGACAACCGCATGAAAGTGGCCTCACAGTAAGCTGTCAAAGTATGTGTGTTGTGCGATGTGTCCACGAAACTCGGGTGTTCGAAAACTTTGGTCTTCACAAAATCCTGAAACACACGACGGCAGTTCGCGCAACAGCGAGCACTGGTGCGTATACTACTTGCACGGTAGAGCTTCGTTCTGATGCTAGAAGCCAACTTGGAAGCCACACTTCCGGCAACAGGATCAATGCTGGAGACCTTTGTTTTTGCTCGTATGTTGCTGCAGCTACAGAGCAGCAAGTCTAGAGACAAGCCCCGGCTTCCGCACGGAAATCTATTGAATCTTTGAGCTCAGTTTCCACGTTGCTTGAAATCAACGGACAGGGTACAGACGACGGGACCGTTTAGTTAACTTAAATGATATTGTCAGCTGCTTCGTCCTGCAGACAACTTGAATTTCGGCTGTCTATGCCCAGGTGCTGATGTGCCGCCAGGTGGAGCAACTTCCGGACGCAGGCGACAGCATGTTAAAGGCGGATCGGTGTCTTGAGGATGTACTTGTAGAGAGACCCCAAAATACACTACCTCTTGTGGTTAGGATCCTACATGCCAGAAAGTAAGGTAACCAACAACAGGCAGTACATTCCAAGGTCTCGGGTACACGTGAAAGGTGTGTAATGCATTGCCAACACCACCAAGGACGACCGCCATTTTCAGTACGACTCACCATCACTGATCGCCCGACATCTTCTGCCCTAGTCAGGTTGAAATAGGCTTGTGCCCTCATCTGTGCTGAGCCATCTGGCTCCGGCGCCCGTGGCGGGTTTCAAGAGCCGGCCTCTGCTCCTCCTTTCTGGAGCGGAACTTGCCATGGCTAAGGCTTTGCTCGCTTTGCCCTCATGACAGACAGCATGGATGGCCGCGTGGTGGATCCCGGGGCTGTGGAAGCCCAGGCCGTCGAGCTGCCCTTCCTCCGGGACTTCTTCGCCAAGCAGGGCACCAACTTCGTGCGCAGCTACTCGAACAGCCCGCAGTGCGTCCCGTCGCGCAGCAGCATGTGCACCGGGCGGCGCACGGACCAGATCGAAGCCTGGTCCAACGAGAAAGGCCTGGCTGCCTCGGAAGATGGGACACTGGATAAGGCTTGCATCTACTTCTATGGCGCCGAGCAGTGCGCTGCCTGGGCGAAGGTGCAGAACCACTCCGAGACCATCTTCTCGGGCTTGGAAAGACTAGGCGCAGACTCTCTGGGATGGTTTTTTATTGGTGCAGCAGGGGGAGCACCCAAATGTTGCGTACTAGAGCTCGTTTTCCTTCCAAGTCCGTTCGACGGTGTAGTGTACGGCAACACAGGAGTTCTGGCTAAAGTGCACTCCGCGCACTGAGGCTTCTCTCAGGAGGCTGCCTTAAAAAGACCCAAAGCTTCTGATTGGTCGGTCTGTGGGCTGTTGTTTCCCTTTGTTTGACGCTGGAGAAGGGTGAGCTTGAGGGTCAGGTTTGGATGTCTTTGCTCTTGGAATTGGACAAAATTTTTGACAGGCTACGGGGTGAAGCTCTATGGGAAGGTGGACATCGGAGGTGGGTTGATGAATGATCCGAAAGTCAGAGAATCGGTTTCAGCCAACGGCTGGCACCGGGGCGTGAGCCGTGGGATCGTTACCCGCTCGGCTGACATCCGCCGGCCAACTAAGGGAGCACCTCTTTCGCTGACTTCCGACACGCAGGACCATGTGCACCCGGAGGATTGGAGAACAGTTGACCGCTGCCGGGGGTGGATTCAGGGCTTGCCGCCCGCTGAGTAGAACACAGAGCCCTTCTTTCTGTACTGCTCATTGAACATTCCCCATCCGCCATTTCAGACAAATGCGACTTGGCTCGCCAAAGTCAAGGAGGACAAAGATTCTACTGCCAAAGTGGCTACCAGGATTCCCGCAAGAGTGGCACCCCTATGACAGCTACATGTCCATCTCCAAGCACGTGGAGGAGATGAACTACACCTCCGAGGAGATCCTGAAGGTTCGCAAGACCTACTATGCCATGTGTGCTGAGGCGGATTATTTGCTGAATCGGGTCTGGGAAGCTTTGACGAGTAAGGGCTACGGTCTTGACAACACCTTCGTAGTCTACGTCTCCGATCATGGTGAGATGAACATGGAGCACCGCCAAGTTTGGAAAAACTCGATGTATGAGGGATCATCTCGGGTCCCCTTTGCCATTGCTGGGCCGGGTGTGGCCAAGGGGCGGCGCGTGACCCAGCTGAGCTCCTTGCTGGATGTTCTCCCCACTTTGCTGGATATGGGGCAAGAGACAGACTGGGAAAGGCATGCGGAACTTGCAGGCAAGAGTGTCCTGCTGCTTGCGGGTGCACCTTCTTCGGCGCCCCCACAGTTGGTTGTGACTCCGGGAGCAGACCGAGCTGTCGTGTCACAGTACCACTCCAATATGGGCAACACAGGTTCCTTCATGGTTCGCAAGGGTCCATGGAAATATATCCGCTTCGGCCACACCTTGTCAGCGTTTTCGCCGCAGAGGTACGTGCCACTGCTCTTCAACGTCGATGAAGACCCGAGTGAGACACAGAATCTCGCTGGGCAGCATTCGCAGATTCTGGGGCAGCTTGACCTGGAGCTCCAGGATCTCTTTGACCCAGAAGACGTCGACCGCCGGGTGAAGTCGGAAGACTTCCGCCTCTACCATCGCTTCTTTGTCATAGCTACATGTTTAAGGGTACTTAAACCCAATAAGGAATAAAGATGTAAATCTTTAACGTTATCCCAACAATGAACTAGGCTTCTTCGGCTCCTTGGATCAGAAGCAGCTCCGGAAGAAGCTGGAGCGAGCCTACGCCGGTTTTGACGCGGAGGATTTCAAGAAGATTCAGCTGTGGGCGAAAGAGCTCGCGTCCTGGGGGGTGCCTGAGCTGCTCGTGGTTTAGTTCGCTGCGAGCAGTATCTGTGAAGGACATCTCGCTGCAGAAGCTCAATTCCTTGGACATCTTTTGTTTCTGTCTAGGTCGGTTGGACCGGACAAGCTTGATGTTTCGACCGTTTGTCTTCTCGTAGCCGCGGGCTCAGGAAAAAGCTGCACAGTTGCGCTGTTCGAATTCTTCCTCCCATCACCTAGTCCCCGGGTCAAGGGTGCCAAGCCTTGGTTGTCGAGCAAGCTTCATGGTCAACAGCACTCAGCAAGGCCTAAGTATGTGGGCCGATGAGGTGAAGGACTCAAACCTGCAGGTTATGATCATGGTCATCTTCAGCAGCATGAGCAGCATGAACCTCATGGTGCGCATGAACATCATGATGATGATCATCACCAACAGCAAATCGTCATCATGAGCATCACCATCGCCACCATGTGTCATGTCAGATCTCAGAGCTCCCTCTGCCAATGATCAGACGTCTTCTGCTCTCCAAAGCAGCGGCAAGTTTACACATGGTCTACGCTGGGGCCAGAGGAACCCTAAACCCTAAACCCTAAACCCTTTAAAGGAACCTTAAGCCCTTGGGGACTTGTGCTTCGTGGCCCAAGTGCGGCTGGGCAGGCCATGGCAGCGGATCGATGGCACGCACAGCTTGAATCGGAGTGCGGAGGCTAGGCGAATCTGGCTGCGGGTTCGAGTTAAGATGTCAAGGGGTTCGCAAACACATCCTGGTTGAGGATCTCAAGTTACTGGAGCACTGCCGTCCATGTACCCTGAACCCTAATTGAACCCTAAGCCCTCAGTGTTTCAGTGTACTGGAGCATAACGCAGCTTTTCCTCTGGTGCTGAGCCGCGCAGAGTGGGGTGTGCCGACCCTAAACCCCGAACCCCCCATAAAGATCACTGTAAAGAAGCACTCTGGAGCAGTTTCCCTTCGGCCTCTGCCGAAGGAGTTGTGCGAGGCCTCCATTCTAGCCGAATTCTTCAGATTCCGGGCGTTAGTTGTGCCCTAAGCCCTAACCCTAAACCCTAAACCCTAAACCCTGAACCCTAAACCCTAAACCCTAAACCCTAAACCCTAAACCCTAAACCCTAAACCCTAAACCCTAAGCCTAAACCCTAAACCCGAATACTAAACCCTAAACCCTAATACACGGGTGCCTTCAGGAGTTCACCGCACCTCTCCCAATCAGCATACCTCGTGCCGGCATCTCTACGTGAAGATGTTGGGTCCTTCAGAGACTGGATGCTGAAGCATCCCTTGAAATCTTGAAGGCCAACAACATGCGGACGCATGGGATTCTTTGCAGCTGCAGCTAAAAGTTCCGCAGGAACTATATACACGCTGCCTTGTGGTTTAGAGATATCCTGATGATTTCGGGTTTAGGGAATGCTTCTACTTTACGCCCGAAGCCTTAAACCCGAAACCTCAGGGCAAGGCTCCAAGGTTCGGACCAGGTCTTGAAACTTTACGCCTCCTTTTACGCCCTAAACTCCAAAAGCCCTGAACCCCAAGCCCGAAATCAAAACTGTGATCAGAAGCAGGGTTGAAGGGTGTAGGGTTTCGGGTGCCCTAAACCCTAAACCCTAAACACTAAACCCTAAACCGCCTGAAACTCCCAACCCTTAGAAGCTTCACCAGGCCGGCGTCCACCAGGGCAGCCCTGCGCCGCGCCGAGCATTTGGTTTGAGGGAGGAGGCTAGGTTCTTGGATGTTCAGGGTCTCAACTGGTTACCCTAAACCCTAAACCCTAAACCCTGAACCCTGAACCCTGAACCCTAAGCCCTAAACCCTAAACCCTAAACCCTAAACCCTACACCCTAAACCCTAACCCCAAACCCAAAACCCTGAAACCCTCAGGGCTGTGCAGGGTTTCGGAGTATTAGAGTTGGGATCCGCGGAGCACACTTGGACCTGCTTGCTGTGGGGTCTCGTACTTAGGTCAGCGAGGCTTGCCCAGAAGGTGCGGACTTCTCCCACACTTCCTGTGCGGGAGCCCAGTATTTTGCAAGCTGCCAATCCCATGCTGAAAGCTCGTTGGGCCATCGCTGTGTGAGAACATCATCTGAGAGAATCTTCTATCCTTCCGAGGGCCTTGGACACTCCAGAGAGATGCCGGCCGACTCAGCACTTGCCACGCATTCCAAAAGCAGCCGTTTTTTCGGCAAACACTTTTTGTTCTCCGCCCTCTGCCACCCCCCCCTGCCATCCTCGATCCGCCGCCATGGGCAGGATTCTCCTGACCGTTCCTATGACAGCATCTCGTCTTTAGGTCTGCTCTAGGTCTTGAGGTCTTGGGCCTTGTCCCTGTGCTCTCTGCCCCAGCTGTCACTTTTTGCTTTCTGCACCGGAGGCTCTCGCAGTTCTCTCGGCGGTCATGGGCTCCGCATTGCCCAACTCCGCCTGCGAGCAGAACGCACTGCTGCAGGTCACGAGCACCAGGCTCCAGGGGCCTTCCTTCCCAAGCCTTCCAAGTCTCCCAGGTCTTGTGCAACACGCCGCCGAGCGCAGTTCGCGGATGGACGAGGGACGACTCGAGGGTGTGAGGAAGGTGCACTCGGAGATTGAGGCCATGGTGAAGCAGCTGCTGACGGAGAAGAGTACAATGGAGACTGGGCGGAATCGCAGTGACTACAACCTGAGCAGCACCACCCTGGCGGTCCTCGACACAGTCAGCACAGAAATGCAGAGCTTGTTGGTGGAGATCAACGAGTCCCACATCGCGGATGAGCAGCTTCTTCTTGACCTGGCCCAGGCCTTCGTCCAGTGCAACACGGACCTCGCCCAGCGCCAGCTGCAGAGCGACAACCTCAGCAGCCTCGTGGCCAGTGCCCGCCAGTCCCACGATGCCTGCCGTGCGTCGGAGCAGAGCCTGACGGCGGCCAACGCCAGCTCATGGGCAGCCTATCTTGCTGCCGGCAGTGAGGCTCCCCCTGAGACGGTGAAGCAGTGCATGACGAACTTCGTCAATGGCCACAACCCAGAAGCAGTTGAGGACCTTGAGGCCATGACCAGCTGCGCAGAAACGATCCAGTCTTGGAGCTCTGACTTCGCAGCGAACATGACCAACCTGCAGAATACTTATACAAGTGACCTAAATGCAGTGAATCAGGAGAGAGTGTCTTGTCGCGTGAATCAATCGACGCTGGAGAGTCACTTCTGCGAGTACCGGCAGCAGCTTAGTGACAGCTGCATCGCCGTTGACAGCTGCCATGAGAATGCCAACGCGACCTGGCACGAGCTCCTCGTGTCCATCGCAGCCTCGGACGTGCGACGTGAATCCTCCTTCATTGCGGCCACAAAGGTCATCTGTTACATCCAGGTCCTCCAGTCGAACCTGACCCAGCCAGCAGTCCAGGAATGCCAAGACCTTACAGCCGACACCTCTGTGATCAACGTCAACATCCCCACGCCGGCCGGGATCGCGACCTGTGACGCCTCGCCCGTGGCCACCTTCCCCTGCGAGGCAGGTCACCCCGCATTTGTTCATGCAGCTTCGGATCTGCTTCGAATCTGTGACCTGGGGCTGCTTGTGTTCATCTTTGCACAATGCAGAACTCTCGAAGTTGTGGATCTTTTGGTTCCCGTCTTAGTAGAATGTAGAAGGACCAGCTTGGGGCCAGATTGAAGTCTTCTTGAACATGCTGAATGTCACGCTGTATCACGCTGTCGTTGGTAGGCAGCCTGGTTGGACATGGAGTACTTCAACAAGTCTTGGTACACGCAGCAGCCGCAGATCCTCCCCGACACCTGCCCCCGCCTCGGTTTAGGGTTTAGGGTTTAGGGTGTAGGGTTTAGGGTTTAGGGTCCGGCACTGTTTCGTGCTCGTGCATGCTTACGCTGTTGAGTGGCTTGCCCGCTCTTGAGGCATCAGCTGTGCGGCGCGGGTCACGACGACCACGACCACCCTCGCAGTAGTCGTGCCAGCCCGGAGCCCAGACCCATCCTGGGGAGAGAAGGAAGAGCGGGAGAACTGTGGGATAGAGTGGGATATCCCGCAAGATTTCGGAAGCTGCTTGTATCCAGCCGGTGAACTGGGGAGCTACCTTGTGTGCATTGGCGATCCGACTCGTCCCGGGTTTTGGAAACTTGGAAACTCCCCCTTCCGTAGAGCGAAGTTCATGTCGAAACTGTCGCAGCCCAGGACAACAGCGTGGCGGCTGTGTTCCTGTCCACCTGTGCCGTCACCAGCCAGGTGCCCACCAAGTTGCAGTGTGTCGGCGAAAGTTCCGGCGGACAATTGGGAGGCCCCGGCTATCCGGCCTACGTTGATCTGGGAAGTCGCACGGCAAGCCGTGTGTTCGGCCCTACTTGCTGCAGATTCTGCGCCCTCCTGGACAACGAGGATCTCAAGTGCTGGGGAGGCAACAGTAATGGGGAGCTGGGCTTGGGCGACACAAACCACAGAGGGGACACCTCCGGAGAGATGGGTAATTCCCTCCCCGCCGTGAGTGTGGGCTCCGGGCGCAAGGTGGCAAGTGTTTGGCGGACCCCACCACGTCTGCGCCATCCTGGACGACCAGTCCCTCAAGTGCTGGGGCCATGGAGCTAACGGCATGCTGGGCTTCACACCCTCCAATGGCCCGAATGTGGGTGATGCCCCGAATGAGATGGGTGACAACCTTCCCGTCGTGAGTTTCGGTGCCCTGGAGGGTAGCCACCAGGTGCTGGGTGGCTCAGCCTGGTGGCACGTGTGCGTGCTTTTGGACCACCCAGCCGAAGTTACACAGCTGGCGTGCTTTGGGGTGAATGGGGGTGAAGGGCGTCTCGCACGTGGAAATACAGACCATCATTCACTGACTCCCATGCCGGTTGATCTGGGCACCGGCTTTCATGCAGTGCAGGTTGCATGCGGCGAGACTCACACATGCGCTTTGCTCCAAACTGGCGCCGTGGCTTGGCTGCATCGTAGATTCTGTCGTAGATGCAAGCGATGCATGAGGCATGATGTAGCGCATGAGGAAGCACGCAAGCACCTCAAGCGCCTGAGGTGAAATGCTGGGGCGGCAACGGCAATGGCCAGTTGGGCAGAGGTGCCCCTGCCGTCGATGTCAACAACGTGGGTGCGAGCCCGGGTGACATGGGTGACAACTTGCCAGCCGTCGACTTGGGTACAGACCAGGGTGGCAAACCGCTGTGCCTGGGACGGGGGTTTTGGATGGTTTTGGATGTGGGACATAGGGGGATCCTGGAAATCAGCTGGACTTGTAAGCATCTCAGGAAAGCCATTTAAATTCTAACCCCTAAGCCCTAAACCCCAAGTGCATCTCAGGAAAGCCATCTACATCATGGTTGGTCACAGGCATTCGTGTGCCATTCTCCAGGGTGGGGCCGTCAAATGCTGGGGCAGCAACACGCTCTTTGGACCAAAGTCGCCTCGGGTTTAGGAGTGTCTTGGGACATCCTCAAGGATCTTAAAGGTGGACGCCATGGTAGGTTAGTTAGGATGCTTTGTGGGTGGACTGCTCCGTGTTGCTAAGGGAAGGGCAAGCTGGGCAGCCAAACAGCAACAGCATTGTGGGTGACAGTCCTGCGGAGATGGGCGACCACCTCCCGAGCGTCAACATCGGGGAGAACATGGTGGCCACGGAGCTGGTCGGCGGAGTGGCCCACACGTGCGCACGCCTGGAGGGCGGTGCGCTCAAGTGCTGGGGCACGGGCGGCAACTATGACTGGGCCAGCTTCCTGGCCCATTCAGCGCTACGAAGCCCCAAGAACTTTTCCCGGACAGCTCAAAACCAGGAAGCCCCAGCAGTTGTTTTTTCCAGTGTGCTTCCATGCCCACATTTCCCAGCCTCTGGGTTTCCGCAATCCGATGCCCTAAGCCCTGAAACCCGAAATCCTAAACCCTAAACCCCAAACCCTAAACCGTAAGCTGTCCGAGGTTCCCAGGCCGAGGCTCAAGGCAGGATTTGGCATCCCTTCTTAGCGTATCCTTTTAGCCTGAACTTTTGAGAACACTTGGACAAGGAAGCTACACAAGGAAGCAAACCCCAAAGGAGTCTTTTTTTGCAGCAAATTGCAGCGTCTGTGCCAAGGCTTCAACGCGCCTCTATGACTTGCGGACCTGCGGACCTGACGGTGGCGGCGGTGACAATAATTTTTAAGACACGTTTAAAGAGGGTCTTTCAAGAACCCTCTTCATATTTTAAAGACACGTTTGAGGTGAAGTTTTGGAAGTTTACGGGGGGCCCTGCCTACCTTGCACAGCTCACTCTTTGGTCGTGCTGCCTTTGTCGGGCTGCCGCAGAGACCAGGCTGCCACACTTGGCCCATTGATGTGCACCATCCCGGAGTGGTCATCTCATGCTTAGGGTTTAGGGTTTAGGGTTTAGGGTTTAGGGTTTAGGGTTTAGGGTTGAGGGTTTGAGAAACCACCTCTTTTCTCTTCTCCAGATCATAACCTCGATGCAGAGTCGAGAATAGCTTGACGCTCCTCCATTGATTCGATGCCTCGTGAAGCAGACAACAGACGGAAGCGCGCTTGTGGCACATCCAGCAGGAGCGGCGCTACGCTGCTCGCTTCACGTGTTTGTCTTAAGTTGGGAGCTTCCTGAGTCCACGTTGCGTGTAGCAGCCACTCCAGTTGCTGAGGCAACGGCGCCAAGTTCTGAGAAAGAAAAGGCACGCGGTCATGATGGATGCCAGAATGTCGCGGATATTTCAGGGAAAACTGTGGTCTCAACTGTGCGTTTCCAGCAAGAACACAGCAACAAGAAGTTGTGCCTGTAACTTTGAGGCGGCTGACCGCTTTGGGGGGAGGCCAAACCATAGCTGTTGTATGGAATCCAAATGACCGGGTTTAGGGTTACAGTAAATATTTATTGCAGATTCCACATGCGTGTGTTTCACATCAGCTTCGGACGAGTAGGATGTTTCACTTGTTTGCATCCGATGCTCGCCCTCAGGGGGCGTGGTCCTTGGAAAGTGGGTAAAAATGTGTGACCCACCCTCCTAACCCTGATCAAGGAGGACCTTGAACATGTTGCGTGGGGTGTGCATGCAAGCATCGGATAGCATCGGCTCATGAGCAGTCACACGTTTCGGATGCGAAGCTTCTTTACCCCTGTGTGCCAGCGTGAAAAAAGAAGGTGCAGGAGCGAGTGTGTGAGTCTTGTACCGCCTGCGCTGTTCGTTGTGCAAGCATTTGCGTTAGTTTTCGCGCGCGGAGCAATGAGCTGTGCAACGCTTTGTCCCGCACGCTTTATATTGGTGCCTAAACCAACCTTCGATGTGACGGAGCGTTGTTTGGAACTCCGACTTACTTTAAAACACACACACACACACACACACACTCTCTCTCTCTCTCTATGTGTATGGTGTGTAGGCATCTCTCGCAAGAAGTGCTCAAGCGGAACGAAGTGTCGAGCACATAAAGACTGCTCAATCGAGCATCATGTTTGGCGATGCTGCTCCGCGCAAGCTCGCAGTAGAAGATGTGTTCTCATCGCATCCCGTGAGGAACCGTTTCTTCACTGATGGGAAGCCGTTGCAGGAGACGGTGGAAGAATTGAGGAAGAACCCTCAGAAGGTTCTCCCAAAGATGAAGTTTGTGGAGTTTGATGGCAAAACGTGGTCAAGGAGCAACCGAAGGCTGGCCTGCTACAAGCATGCAAGCGTTGGCGAGTTCGTTGAAGGCGTGCATTTCGAAATGTACGGGCCAGACGAACACTTCTTCGGAGGGCTCAACAACAGGATCTTCTTTGCGAGTCAAGAAGACGTTGACACCAGGACATTTTGCAGTCTTTGTCAGCAGCAATTCAGTTGCCGTGTCAAGTATCTACAACATTGCGGGTATGCGCATGGTGTGGACGTCAGTTCGACATGCACCCATTGCGGAGAGAAGTTTCAAACCCTTTCCGCGCAGCTGGTGCATGAATGTGGAGTTGTCGCAAAGATGCTGAGTGGGCAAGACATGTATTGCACCCTTTGCAAGAGCGAGTTTCCAAGTCACTTCAAATACCTTCAGCACTGCAAGCAGACCCATGGTGTTTCTGTCGGTTCGCGTCAATGCGAGTATTGTGGACAACGTTTTGGGACCGGCGTTGGGCGGGCGCAGCACACTGAGCAATGTGCAGCGCGTCAGGAGTTGCTTCAAAAGGAAAGGACGATTGAAGCAAATCGTCTTCGTGTGACTGGGAATGAATTGACTTACCACATGCGAATTCCAATGACTTTGGCTGCGAAGATTATTGACGAAAAGCAGTACAAAAGGGATGTCATTGAGCGGAAATATCGTTTTGGCATTGCCGACATCAGCATTACACCTGATGTTGCCAAACCCGAGGAAGCTTTGCTCGAAGTCAGAGGCGTGAAGGAGGCGGTCAAGCATTTCAAGCAATGGGCTCAGAATGACATTCTCTCTCAGGTGCCATACAGACCTTTTCACGCTGTCCACTTTACCGTCAAGAAGATGCAAGCAGCGCGCTTGCTGAAAGAGTTCACGCTGGAGTTGGACAGTGAAGACATCAAGCTGATGACCGAAGCGTCTTTCTTGCACCACATCATGCAGAAAATCGGCATGAAGAAGATCCACTCGGTCAAGGCCCAATATGACGGCGAGGAAGCTGAAGAGTTTGACTTCTCGAAACTGGCCCTCCGCAGTGGTAGCTCTTCAAGGATCGTCCTCCTCGTATAAGCAGACGGTCCGGGCATGAACCACAAGTCGTTTCTGTATCTTTTGCTCATCAACCAGGAGGAGCTCTGGCAAAGCGGTGCGCAAGCAAACTGCTGCCAAGCTTTTCGACAAATACGCAGATGAAGCTACCTCAAAAAATCGCGCTGCAGCATTCCGTTGCCGTCTTGAGACTGTGCTAGCAGATGCATTCGCTTTTTCCATGTGTGTATGTGTGTATGTATGTATGTATGTATGTATGTATGTATGTATGTATGTATGTATGTATGTATGTATGTATGTATGTATGTATGTATGTATGTATGTATGTATGTATGTATGA